GTTGTGCTTTCTTGACCATGATGTCGACATGGGTGGACCATGACAGATTCCTGGTGGTCATCACCCACAGGAACTTCACGTTCTCGAACCTCAGCATTATTGATGCAGACAAGGGTGTGCCCTCCACTCTGCTTCCTGAAGTCAGTAGCCAGCTGCTGTATTTCGTTGACATTGTTGTCTTTATACCATGCTGCTAAACACTCGATCTGTTTGCTGTATTCTGTCTTGTCATTGTTTGGAAATTGCAGGGGCACTGGCTATAATCTTTCAGTCTTCCCTAGACTTGGGAGAGGTGCCAGATGATTGGAAAATTGCAAGCATTGTGGCCTTGTTCAAGAAAGTTGTAAAGATAGGCCAAACAATTAAAGGCCAGTCAGTTTAGCTTTAGCTTTAATAGTGAGGACGTTTTTGGGGGCGATTATTCAGGATAGAATTAGTAGTTGCTTAGAAAAAACGGTGGGTTTATTAGCAAGAGTCCGCATGGATTTCTGATGGGAAAATCGTGTTTAACTAACTTGCTGGAGTTTTTTTGAGGAAGTAACAGAGGCTCGGTGAGGCTAATGCTGTTGATACGGTGTACGAAGACTCACGTGCTTGATGCAGTGCCACATAACTCGTGTGAGGAAAGTTGTAGTTCATGGAATAAAAGGATCAGTAGCAACACGGATATACAGTTGACTGAGTGATCATAAACAGTAGTTGTCAGTGGTAATTTTTTGGTATCGAAATAGGTTTGCAGTAGAGTTCCCTGGTGTTGGTCTTGAAGACCCTTGTATTTCCTGATATTAATGAACTAGATCTTGGTGTACAGGGGACAGTTTCAAAGTTGGATGATGTGAAACTTGGGAAGAATTGTAAACGGAGGAGAATGGTGTATAACTCCAAAGGAGCAGATAAATTGCTAAAGTGGGCAGATAAGTAAGTGACAGATGTGCTTCAATGCAGAGAAATGTGAGGTGATGTATTTTCACAGGAAGAACATTGAAAGGTAACATAAAATAATGGCGAAAAAGGATTTCGGGAGCACAGGCACCCCGAGTATATATGTACACAGATCATTTGAAGATGACCGGACAGGCTGAAAAAGTAGTAAATGAAGTGTACAGTGTTTTGGATTTATTAGGAGCTTAGAGTACAGAAGCAAAGAGGAGATGCTGAACTTGCCTAAGACACCTGTGAGACCTCAGCTGGAGTATTGTGCGCAGTTCTGGTTGCCACATAGTAAGTATGTTAATGCATTGGAGAAAGTGAAGAAACAATTTTACAGGAATGGTTCCAGGGATGAGTGATGTCTATGATAAAGATAGATTGAAGAATTTGGATCTGTCTTCTGGACCCTATTCAGAGAGGGTCTGAATTTCATGTGATGTGCAAGGGAAGCAAGGATGATGCGAGGTAAAAAAAAAACCTTTTACCCTCTGAGAACAGTGAAGATGTTGAATACACTGCTGGATGTTGGTGGTGACACGTTCAATTGAGGCATTTAAGAGGACTTTGGGTGATTATTTGGATTAAAAATAGTGTGCAAGGATAAGGAGAAAAAGCAGGAGATTGGCACTAGGTAATGATGCACATTTGAAGTGTGTGTGTGTGTGTGTGCGCGCGCAGTAGACTGAATGGCCTCTCTGTGTGCTATAAGGCATCTATGATTCTGTGATTCATGACTCAAATTCAAAATTAAACAAGGCATTATTGAAGTACACCCCTCATACTGTGACTTAATGGTAATGCTCAGGTGCAGAGTTAGTGGATTATTACAAGTAAATTTATGGATGAGAAACAGATTAAACTTTGGGGGAAGGGAAGGAGTGACTTTGAAACAAAAGGCAGTAAAAAGCAAATGAGATGAAGCGGGAGGAAAACCAGACTTAAAGTACTTGCTTGTTTTTAAAGATTTTTGAAGTTATATCAAATGCATCTGCATCTTTGACTGACTACTTGAATGTTTCTACAGCCGTGACTATTTGTAACTGTAGATAATGGTGAATTGTGTCTCTTCCTCCGGTGGTACTAGGTTGAATGTTTATGATGCAATGAATTATGCTGTTGCAGAGTGATTTTTACAACCTTATAATTTTGTCTAGGTAGTTTTCCATGGTGTTGTTTTTGGGCTAGTATTATTTTGTAAACTTATTTCTTCATGGAATATGGGTGTTGTTGGCTAAGACAACATTAATTTCCCAACCCTAATTGCCCTTGAAGATGGCTTGAAAAGTGTAGAATTATTTATAAAAGGGAAGTCATCATGATAGGAAAATAAAGGCTGTGTCAGGGTAATTTTTAGTAACTTCAGAGATGCTTATTAAAAAGGTGCAAAATCAAGTTCTAGAATTTTTGATAAAAGGGCAAAGAGAGAAATTCACTTATTTAGATCTGCGTGTTTGTATGGAATGTGTGTCGACAGTTCCAATCTGCACACTGCATTTTTAAATTAAAAGGAAGTATGGAGGCTTTGAGTTGTGGCACAAGGGCTCTGTTATCCAACCATGCTATGCTCTACGCAAAGTACTGCCTGACTTGAAGTTTCCAGATATGTTGAACATACTGTTGCCTTGGTGAGGGTAGTTGTTTGGACTTTGCGGTGCATGCTGAAGCTCAGGTTGCTAAAAAATAATTTAGTTTTTTTTTCAAGGGTTCTAAAAAGTTGTCCAGAATTTGAGAATAGGATTTGGAAAAGCGAATAATTAATCAATTGCATCTTTTTCATTAGACACCTGTTCCATAGCATGACAAAATTTTAAGAGTGAGACAACAAAGGAAGAAGCAGACTGTTCCCTCCAGTTGAGGAATTGAGCGAGGATGCCATTGATGCAACGTTAACTCAGAGATTTTGAATAGAAAACAGGAAAATTGTTTAATACAGTAAGCTGTGAAATTTGCTTTGGTTCGTATTTGAAGCAGAGATTATCAGCATTTAAGGTTACAGTTGAATAGGTGGATGAATGTGATTAGAAGAGTTGCACAGGTGAAAGGTTATGAGCCATGGGTCCTGATATGGGTCCTGTTTCATGTTTTAGCATGCACTTAAAAGTACTCTTCTCGCTTGTTGATTTTGATTAGAATAGTTCAGAGAACTTTAAGAAAGAAGATAAAAAATTCTGCAGAGCCTCCCAGTGACCAAAGCTTGAAACTACATATGTTCATAGTGAGAAATAACACAGTGTGGAGCTGGAGGAACACAGCGGGCCAGGCAGCATCAGAGGAGCAGGAAAGCTGACATTTCGGGTCGGGACCCTTCTTCAGAAACCTTTCTTCATAGGCACTTTTTTAAAGTGTTCTTGCATTGCAGACTGCCACATTAATGCAGAATCCTATTACAACAGGACATCCCATATATCCTAAGTGCTGATGGAATTAGCATCAGAAAGCATGGAAATGTTCATGGGTTTTATAGAAGATTTTTTTATAGGTTTATTACAAAATCCTTCAAGTATACATGAAATACATCCTAAATAAACAATGAAGTAAACAGAATGAGAAGTATGTATGCTCACTGACGGTACCATAAAAATGTTGAAATTTCTAATCAAAAACCCAGTGGTTAAATTTTATTCTTTATTTTAAGTTGCATTGTCAAGCTGTTGTATGTGGTGTACATGCACATGGATATTTTTGAACAATTTCTCAAATTAGGAGTACATTCATATATTTTATGGATATTCTATGGATTCAGTTGTGTATTCATGCATGCGTTACATTTTAAAATCTGATTTATTAACCCTGCCTGCAGGAGAAATTTACTGCACATCCAAGCTTCTTAGGTCATTGTGTTTCATATCAGTTGGAGGCTGAGGCAGCTCGCATGGCCCTCTGTTAGTTAGGCTTTTGGAGAAATTCTGCATATTGATGGCTGTTAGTTGGACCTAATTTTTACGAAATTTGAAGGGATTGTTGCACAAAAAAGCTAGCTTATTTTTAGATTTTTAAGAGTAATCTTCAGTGTATGGTTTCACTGAGAGTCCAGGTGTCACTTGATTTCATTGCTAGATGTTCTCTTCCTCTTTCATCCATGTTTGTTGCTGACATTGTATTCTACACCTTTTGAGTTAATGATGAACTGTGACACTCCACTTGTTTTGGGTGCCTCCTCCTCCAAGGAGCAGGCTCAGTGAGCATAAGGTGGGTTTTCTGAGATTGGCCAAAATCTTTGATTTCCTGAGCTGCTGGCCATAATGGCTTAATGCAGGAGAACAACCAGAATATATGACAGTATATGTTTAAGGATATATTCTGCCCATAGTCCCTCTTACAGGTATCTTTGGGACAGCTCCTGCATAGGAGTAGAAAAAATATGAGAAGGTGCAGACCATTCAGCCCTTTAAGTCTACGCTGCTATTCAACACGATCATCATTGATCATCCAGCAGATGTATCTGCTAGCTCATCATATTCTTCTGAGATGTTGCTGGGAATGGAGGGTTTGAGTTATAAGGAGAGACTGGGATCTTTCCTACTGTATCCAGGAGGTTGAAGGGTAATCTAATAGAGGTTTATAAAATCGAGGGGTATAGGTAAGGTAAATGGCAGGTGTATTTTCCCTAGGGTGGGGGATTTCATGACTGTGGAGGGGGGGCATATTTTTAAGGTGAAAGGAGAAAGATTTTAAAAGGGACATGAGGGGCAACATTTTTTACACAGCGAGTGGTTTGTGTGGACTGAACTTCCAGAGGAAGTGGTGGATGCGGGTACAGTTACAACATTTAAAAGACATTTGGACAAGTACATGAATAAGAAATGTTTGGAGGGATGTGGGCCAAGCACAGGCAGGTAGGGCTAGTTTAGTTTGGAATTATGGTCAGCATGGACTTGTTGGACTGAAAGGTCTGTTTCCGTGCTATATGACTCATTGAATATTTTCAAAAAGTTAATGTTTCGACCCCAACCTCTTTGTCTGTGGCAGTGAATTCCATATGCACACCATTGTCTTGGTGAAGAAATTCTTCTTAGCACAGTCCAAATTGGCCAGCCCTGTATCATTAAATTTTGATCCTTGGTTCTGGACTCAGGAGTCATTAGGAACACCCTTCTATCATTTATGCTATCCATTTCCAATTTGAGGTCTCTGAGATCCTCCCTCATTACTCTGTGCTACAGTGAATACAGTCCTGAGCAACTCAGTTTTTCTGTTCATATGTCAGTCTTGCCTTCCCAGCAGTAAATCTGGTAAATCTTTGTTGCACTCCCTCCATAGCCAGAGCTTCCTTCCTCAGATAAGGATATCAAACTGCATACACTATTCCAAGTGTGGTCTCACCAAGGCCCTCTACAATTGCAGCAAGATATCCCTTCCTCTGTTTTCTAATCCTCTCACAATGATGGCCAATATATCATTTGCTGCCTTCACCACCTGCTGCACCTGCATACTTGGTTTTAGCAGCTGGTGTGGCAGGGCACCCATGTCTTGTTGCATCTCCCCCTTTCCTAATCTGTCACCATTCAGCTAACAATCTGCCTTCCTGTTTTTGCCACCAAATTAAATAACTTCACATTTATCCATGTTATCCTTCATCTACCATGCATTTGCTCACTGACTCACTCTGTACAAATCTCTCAGAAGCATCTCTGCATCCTCCTCACAGCTCACCCTCTCATCCAGCTATGTCGCATCAGCAAATCTGGACATATTACATTTAATTCCCTCATTTAGATTACTAATATGTAGTGGTTAGCTGGGGTCCAAACACTAATTCTTGTGGTACCCTACTAGTCACTGCCTGCCACTTGGAAACCTGCTCAGTTGTAATCTTTGTTTCCTGACTGCCAGCCAGTTCTCAATCGGTGGACATACATTGTCCCCAATTCCATGTGCTTTAATGTCACATTCTAATCTCTTATGTGGGGCATTTTCAGAAGCCTTTGAGAGTCCAAATAAACCACATCCCCTGTCTGCCCAATAAATTCTGTCAGTTCCATACTTGAAAAATTCCAAAACATTTGATGAGGATGATTTCTCTTTAGTAAATCGATACTGACTCTGTCTGATCCTGTCACCATTTTCCAAGTGTTCCAGTATCAAACCTTTTATAACGGACTCTAGCATTTTCCCCACTAATGATGTTGGGTTAACTGTCTTTAATTCCTTTTTTTCTCTCTATCTCTTTTTGTAAATGGATGGGTTACAGTAACTACCCACGAATCCAAAGCAGCTATTCCCATAGAATCTTGAAAGATAACCACCAATGCATCCACTATTTCTCGGGCCACTTCTTTGAGTCCTCTGGAGGCAGATTATTAGGCTGTAAGGTTCAGTCGGCCTTTAACACCATTGATTTCCCCAACAACATTTCCCTACTAATACTGATTTCCTTCACTTTTGCCCTTTGACTAGACCTTGTGTATCCCAACATTTTTGGTGTTTATTTGTGGTTCTGTCTCTACAAAGAAGAGCAAAGTATGTATTTAATTGGTCTGCTATCTCTTTGTTTCCCATTATAACTTCCCTTGTTTCTGCTGGCAAGGGACTTACTTTTATCTTGATCAATCTTTTTCGCTTCACAAGTAAAGCGATTGGTTGAAAAAGTTCAGTAGTTATGTTCCCTGGAAATTTACTCTTGTACTCTATTTTCCCCTCTTCATTAGTCCTTTTGTCCTTCCGTTTCTAAATCATTTCCCAGTTCTCAGCTCTTCTGCTTCTGGCAAATTTGTATGCCCTTTCCTTGGGTCTGATACCCAAATAATTTCACTTGTTAGCTATGGTTGGGCAACTTTTCTTGTTTTATTTTTGTGCCTGGCAGGAATAAACAATTATTACAGTTCCTGCATTTGCCGCCATCATCCCTGGAAATAATGT